GTGGCAAATAAAAAATAAATTATAAAATTTGCGCAACTATATTAGAACTAATTAACCTTTTAAGAGATGTTAAAAATGCTTCTAAAACTCATCAAGTAAAGTAGACAACATTTTTAGACGAAGCTCCGGGACAGTTCTCACTTATAGATAGAGTTTAACAGAAAGAGTTTAACAAATTTTAGGAATATATTTGATTTTCGTCAGCAAATAGATTTTGAAAGCTCCAACTCTCTAACTTAAGTGTTTCTTTTTTAGGTCGGCGATTGTAAAAGATTATTTGATAAAACAGATACGCCAGCTCATACTGATTAGAAATTTAAAAATAATTTGTTAATATGCACGTAAAAAGCCAAATTTTTGATTTAACTAAAAAAGAATTTCCTTCTTAATTTAGATTTGTTTAGTTCAATTTTTTTTTTTATGATAATAAACATTTTTTTTTGGCTGCCTAGTTTTCATCTAAGTGGATTTGTTTGGACTGTTTGGACTGGCCAAACAGTTATTACGTTTTGTGATTTGCAAGCTGTGTCCAAGTGGCATTTAATTGCTTCAGGAAAACCACATTGTGACAAACAAAATGAAATGACTAATAATCTGAACTTTCAACCTGATTCCACAATCGGAAAATGCCATAGAAATCATAAAACTGCCATCGGAATGATTCAAACTTTTTCCAATAATGTCTTTTAACGCTATCTGTAATTATTCGTAGATTATGCCAAGATATATAATGCTTTTACATATACATGGATTTCAACAAAAATGGACTACTATTTTTTTCCAAAAGCTGCCATAAAAACGATCATGTCGTAGCAACTTAAATGAAGCATAAGAATGTAAAATGGAAATGTTGCCCAGGCAGAAGGGCGTACAAATTCTCAACGATGGAGAGTCTTCAATCTGTCTACTAAACTGGGCAATTTTCCTCTGAGTGTATGCAAATAGGCAACACACACACACTCTCACACACAGAGATACAGACAATATGGCAGCTTGGCAGCCAGTCAAGTTGGCAAATGCGGCACTGGCGCTGCCTATTTTGCATATGGGGCCGAGTGTCTGAGTGTTGTAAACCGCGATTAACGTAAATAGCGGAAAAAATGGCGCACAGTGGCAAGCAATGGCAGCAGCAAAAAAAATGGCGCACACACACACATAGCATGTGTGTTTATTTGTTTGTGTGTAAGGCAGGCAACAACAACAACAAGAAAAGAGAAATGGAAACGCATGTGACCAGGCAGACGCTTGAAAACGAAGTGAAAAGACGGGAAGGGACTGTGTTGTCTGTGCGCCACAGTAATGTAGGTCATGGTAGGATATGTGTGCTTACTACTCTCACTGACTATATGTGTGTGTGTGTGTGCGTGTGTCGGGATAAAGCGTGCATATGTTTGTATAAAGCCTGCCATGTGGAAAATTTGTAGCAATTGCAGAATGGAGGATGTTGATCCTTCTGCCTGCCATGCACGAACAGCAGTTAATTAGGAGTTGAAGTTTTTTTTATTAGATATACGTTGATGGCAAGGCAAACGAAGTGCTGATGAGAGAATAAGTGGAATAAATTAAAGATACGACACTGCGGCTCGTCAATAATGTAGCAGTAGATGAAGCATTAAATCGTTGCAGAGGATATTGCCTGCTTGCTTTGCATTTTAATGCTCCTATTCAGGTCTCTTAGTCGTGTAAGCTTTAACCAACATGCTTGTGACAAATTGGCAGAAAAGTAAATGCTTTTTTTTTGAGAGATTTAAGCTTTCCATTTAATGTTTTAATTAATTGACGCATGCAAATGGAATTGAAGTGAAAATTCGCACTGACACAATGAATCCAAATCGGTCTTACATTGACTTGTCCATGTGGATTTTAAATGAAATAATAAATAATCTCGTTAATCATATGCTAATGGGATAATTCCATTATTGATTTACACTTCAAAGGTCACATTTTATTGGAATCAAGGCAGATAGAGTGTCCATAAAACTAATGCGTAAAAAAACAACTTAATTCAATGGGAATCAGTACCAGCAATTAATTCGTTATTGCAGGAGTATTTGGCCTTCAATTTTAGATTTGCTTAAATGAATGATTTGTTTGATGAAATCCACGGACTCTCGATCTTCTGTAGCTTGAAGTCATTAGCAGAATAAAGGTCCCAGCAGCTTCTGGTTAGCTTTGCTTATAACATTTTTGTGGGTTGTATGGTTAGGATATTTCTATATTTTTCTTTTTCGGATTGTCAAATACATAATACATAATCAAGTTAAAAGGAGTTGACTTAAATCCAAAAATTAACTATAAGCATAAAAATATAAATACATTTTTCGAATATCTGTTTTATAACAGTTTAATATTAAACCTAATGCTTTTAAATTTAAACATTTTAAACATTTTATAAACAATTTTATAACTTCGATAGTAAGAATTGTTTTTAAATTAATTTAAATTGTTTGTTAATCGTTTCAAAAACTATATGACAGTTCAAAAATGTTCCTATCTTCATCAGAATATTTTAGCTTGGTTTATTAAAATTTGGTACTATTTCAGATCAACATACTAGTAAACGTTCAACCAAGTGGAACCTTTATTAAAATTATTATTCAGTTCAACTGCAAAATCGGTTGATCATTTTTGCCAAAGGGTTGCAACTGTTTACACTCTGTAGTGCAGCTCATATGCGCTCAAAACATATTTCTCGCCACATGTTGCACAAATAAATAAAGTTATCTCACTCTGCCTCTCACCACCTCTCCCCCTTTCGCTCTGCCGGTATTGTTTGTGTGGCCCCCTTCATTGCTGCTTCAATCTGAAGTCATTGCAAACAAACTCGGTAAATTGTTTAAATGACTTCTGCACGAGTCAATAGTTGGTATGATTTAGTACACTTGCTATAGTGGCTCTCCAAGCGCCAATGCCAATTCTCCCCTCCTCCTCCTCCCCCCTTATCCTCTCATATCGTCCGACTGTTCAGCAACACCCCTCGCAACTACTAATTCACCTCATCCCTTTGCACAAACAATTCTAAACTCGCTCGTAACTAAAAACTAGATAAAATATGAATATGAACATACATTGCATGTATATTTGCATACATTTCTGTGTGTGTGTGTGTATATGTATATGTGTGTGTGTGTCCTATATATGTATTAATAGCCCAGTTCAGTACAACAACAACATCGAAATGTACAAAAATGAGCGGCAACAGCAAGAAATTGTCGCAATGCAGTTGCAGTTTCGAGTTTCGGTACAAAGTTGCACTTTGTGTTTGAGTTTGAGTTTTCATAGTTGAAAGTTAGTTTTCCCGCTGTCAACTGTAAATATATATATGGTTATACATATTTATATACATATACATATACATGTGTGTGTGTGTGTTTAGCTTTAACTTTTTTGTTTGCTGGTTGTGCATGAAGGAAATTGAAAGTGAACTGAACACTGATGCAGCTGTTGGGAAAATTATTTATGAATTGTGCGCACGTTGCGACAAAAAGTTCAAAAGCCATTTAATATGATTATGCGAATGTTCGACCTGACTCTCTCACACTCGAACACACACACACGCGCACTCGAATAAATATGTATATATGGTATTGAATGCATAGCGTTTTTAATTTAATTAAAAATACGGCAAGAGCGAGAAAAAACTTTTGCACACAAGTGCCAATCAGGGCCCAAAAGGCAGCTACATTTAACGGCATTTAATTACAAACTCTGAACGCACTTGAAGCGCTGCTCAATTACGCACTGGGAATTGCACAAAAAAAGGGCACCACAACAACAAGTGCAGTTAAATTAATTAAGGAATTAACATCTGTGCAAATAACGTTAAACAGCAACACCAACAACATCAACATCAAAAGAAAACCTTGCATTCAAACTCTTCGCAAGTTGAAAAAGTTGTTGCATTTAATGGAAATTAACAAGCGTGTTGAAGATGTACAGGAGTGGGTGTGGCGGGTGATACGAAATGAAAAGTTAAACATCTGTCATTGAATGCAAATTCCATTTAATTATATATCAATATTATTAATAATTAAAAACTGCGCTACTCTGTCGCCACTCGTATTTATTGTATTACACATGACATTATTTAATTAAAACTATAACAAAGACAATATAGGGCGCACATCATGTGGAATGTGTTGCCTTGATTTCGCTCTAATTATCACTTTATCACATCAATATCTGATGATATAATTACTGGACTAAAAATTAAACGTATTTACTGATTTCTAGTAAAATGTTGTCAGAAAACTGACAAACGAAAGTATTTATTTATATCAATAAGAAAACAAATGTATTCTTATCTTTGAAAATCGTTTTAAATACATAATATTTATTTATTTCTGTCATTGTTTTGTTTTTTCATATCTGTAAATTCAATTAAAGTTAATGTTCAGTTAAAGCAGTAGAACAATTTTGCAATAATAAAACCGTTTTCCAATCAACTTTTTATAAACTTTCAACTAATAACAAAAAGTCAATCAATTATTAATTGTTATTATTAATTATTATTTAATTAATTTGCTCAAGGCACTTATATGTGTAAATATCATACTGAACTAATAAAAATGTATAATTCGCTACGATTTAACTCGGTTTTTAGTTTACAATTAGCTTTATAACTAACAAAATAGAGGGCTACAGTTATTACTTTGGACAAACCTAACATAGCTTTTAGTATCTTTCAGATACAGGGTATATAAATGAAAACTTGCCTATTATATATGTACATACAGTTGACATAAATAAAACATAGAATTGCTATTAAATATATTTTTGAATTTCATATTTTGAAACGTAGAATTGCTATTAAATAGATTTTTGAATTTCATATTTTGAAACATAAATTTGATAACAAAATTTAAGTCAGACGTGGCCATAATAAATAATAATAATGCAAAAATCATATTGCTACATATCATAACAATTTTCTTTATATTTAAGAAAAGAAAACAGCAAAACTTCCTACATACAATTTTCCCCTTTCTTCATATTTGCAGACTCAAGGTGGACAACAATGGCGGTGCCTGGTGTCCCAAACATATGGTCTCACGTGGACTGAAAGAGTATCTGCAAATCGATCTGATGCAAGTGCATAAGGTCAGTGCTATACGCACCCAGGGTCGCTTTGGCAAAGGTCAGGGTCAAGAGTATACAGAGTCCTATGTGATGGAGTATTGGCGGCCGGGCTTTGAAAAGTGGTTGCGCTGGAAAAGTATTCAAGGCAAGGAGGTGAGTGTAGCGGTGGTGGCTGAGGAGGTGGAGGAGGAGGAGGAGGAGGATGTTGCGAGAAGGCAGTCATAAACAAACATACATGCCCAAAAGCTTCACACATTAATCACGGCAAGCAGCAAAGATAACAATCGCGATACAATGCCGCCGGCCCAAGCAGATACTACGTTTTCGTTTTTTGTATCTTTTGGAATTGGCGAATTATGAGCGAAAATTGCGTAGGCGTCTTTGCAATGGCCTGGGTCGCCGGAGCGGGCATTCGTGCGTGCCGAGCCCGTCGATTTATTGTGTTTAGGCCATGAAAATCAATTTTAACGCTTTTGTTTTTGTTTTTGTTGCGCGCTCAAATTTCCACCTTTCTGCACCTACACACACACTGAGCGAAAAAAGGTCGTTTGTAATAGCTGATTTACGGCTAAAAGGGCCAAAATGAAGAATAAATGAAGAAAATAATAAGAGCATATGCGGCTGCTTTGGGAATACTTTCAGCTGCTTTCTATAACTAGCACTTGCTCGTTACTTGACTAATTCGCTCACTATTTTAATCTTTTATTACTCATCGCATTTGTCTTGCTTTCTTTTTTTATTACAAAACAAATATATTATAATATCTTAAGCAATTTTAAAAAAATATATACTTTTTGCCATTTACAATACATTTTATCTAATTTATTAAAATATTCTAATTTTCTTTTTTGCTTGCATCATTTATTATTGGGCTTTCCAACAAACACAAATACAGCTATGTACTACTCTTTAAATTTTGAATTCAGTTCACTCTATAGTTTAAGATATTTTCCGTTTTACAAATAAGTTTCTGCAAGTGTTTGAACACTCAATACATTGTTGGCCATTGCTTAACCGTTTTGTTGTCGTTTTTCCATCTTTTTCCCACAGATACTGCCCGGCAACATAAACACCTACAGCGAGGTGGAGAACACATTGCAGCCCAGCATCTTTGCTTCGAAGGTGCGCATATATCCCTATAGCCAGTACGATCGGACCGTTTGTCTGCGCGCCGAGATCGTCGGCTGTGCTTGGGAAGGTAAGTGCGGCTATGAATTATGCTTTTGATTTGCGCCTCTCGCACTTGTTGGCGAAAAGAAACCAAAAAGCGTGAGTTCGCCCTGCGGCGCCAAAACAACACAAAATACATATCTGCAAGCTGCAGAAAATCATCTACCAAGGGTATTGCTTTAGTTAGCCTTTGAATAGGTAACAGTAAATGCAATGAAAAGGGAACGTCGTTTCTTAAATTAAATACTTCAATTGTGTATTTCCATGTGCAAAATACATAAAAGTTATCTACGTCTGCGCCGCAACTGTATACTCTTCGTTTATAATAGAACCTTATTCCTGCATGGTTATGTACCGCGAATTATATGCTCTACTGTTTCCATAATTTCTTGTGCTCCTTTAGCAACCATATTTCATTAGAGCGGATATCAGTTATGATTAAAACGTTCTCTATATGTAACTAGGCTCGCTTATCTTTAGAAATAAATAAGTTTTTAATACAAAAACTATGCTCTACTGTTTTCATAATATCTAATGATTCTTTAGCAACCATATTTCACTAGATCAGATATCAGTTATGATAACAACATTCTCTATATGCAAATTGGCTCTATTATCCTTAGAAATAAAGAAGTTTTTCATATCAAAACTATATTGAAAACAAAGCGTAAGATAACGAAACGATATTCCATCTGAAGTGTGTCCGTTAAAAAAAGCCTCGAATCCATTAGTTTTCACAAAAGCTTTGAAGCTGTAGGAGAAATTGGGATTGAAAAAGGCGTTACGGCCATGGCTATCCATCCTTCTGAGTATTACCAACGTGCACATCAAAACAATACACACCCTTCACAGAAGAGTAAAGAAATTAAACCTGGTTGCTGTGTAATTTGTTAACCAATAAATATTTGAAAACACTCAGAAAATCATTGATTTTGTTAGCAGTTTCAAAAAGTTGTAAATAATAAGAAACTTAAACTTAATAGAGTTCTTACCTTATGGAAAAATGGCAAACAAATATTTCAAAAATTTGCAAAAAAAAAAAAAAAAAAAAAAAAAAAAAAATAATTGCCTAGCCAACAAATGTGCCTATGGCTAATATATTTAATCAGTGATAAATAAACTATGTTGCTTAGAAGTTGCTTTTAAGCTCTCCTCACTGTGCGGTCACAAAATCGAGTGAATGAACCAAATGCTCGCAATTCACGACCGGTTTTGATGACTTTGTTTTGTTTCTGTGTGTTGCTAGCGAATGGCCGCGACCAGAAAGTTAGTTGTTAGTTTTTTTTTGATTGTTTTATTGAATATATAGTTCGTACAGTATATTGTGCAGCCATAATTGCCATACTTAGTGGTAAGCTGGCAATTTGTGTGTGTAAGCAAAGTGGGCAGAGTTATGCGGCTTGCATGTGACCCGCTGCACACGCACCCATTGTAAATCACAGAGAATTTAATTTACAGTTGAGTTTTACGAGTACACGAATGTGCTGGCTGCCTTCTGCCTTCTGCCTTTTGCCAAACATGCAAAGCTGCAACAGTTGCGAGTTGGCCAAATAGTATTAAGCAATTCTCCAAGAATTTATCGCATTTTATGCCACAAAATGTTGCATTTTTATGTAATTTGAACATGACAGACGGCAGTTGATCGTATAACAGGCTTTTTATTAGCTAAGCCGCGACCAAACTTGTGTGTATATATACGAGTAGTAAGTAGCTATGCATGTGCTCTTATATTTCCATATTTCTGTGTGGCCCACTTAAGTTTCTGTAGAGCTATAGTTGGCTATGAAATACGATGCCACAAATCGCATTAAAATGCACTTTTGATATCAGCTGCCTTTCACTAAACTCTATGAATTATGTATTGTATCATTGCAGAGGGCATTATAGCCTATAGCATTCCGAAGGGCGTTCAGCGTGGCATGGAAATCGATCTGTCCGACAAGACCTACGATGGACATGAGGAGGCCGATCGCTTTGTGAATGGACTCGGTCAGCTGGTGGACGGGCAGCGCGGAAAGGACAATTTCCGCACTGATATCAATGGCTTTGGTAAAGGTAAAAGGCTTCGAATTGCTGGCGGCAACCATCAAACGCCATCCATACATAAAATACATGTGTAGTAGTGCTTGTAGCTGTCATAGCAAAACCAGTCCTCAGTCCGCTGCCACCAAATGCAGAACTCGTTACACACACACTATACAAGTTATTGACAGCGCATAAGTGTCTCATTAAATATGACAAAATGTGTGCCGAGCTCTAGTCAGACTGCAGTTGCAAATGCAACTCACAGCTGCACAAGTTCTGACAAGAAATGAGGTAGCGGGAAGCAGAGTAGGAAGTCTATAATAACTTCTCTATTGCAACATAAGTTTGTCAATAAGCAGATATAACATACAATTTTTGTAAAGTTTGCATAGAAATGTCGCAAAATAAAAATAAATAGCAACTTCTGCTAAGTCGAAAACTTTAAACAGATCAACACTTGTTCAAAGCAATTGATATGAAGTTGCTGTTGATATCTTTTAGATTTTTTCTTTCTCGAGTGCAGTAAGTAAAAAACCACAGCATTTTAAAATTTATTCTTTTAGGTAGAATAAAATTGAAAATCTCATTTATATCTGGAATAGAAATAATTGGAGTAAAATGTACTTCTTCATTTTTATGCATTTGAACGTTCAATGCTTTCTACAATCCATCCATATATTGTTTCCGCTTTTCAATTACTCAGCTCAGCTTTAGAAAAATATCTTTCCACGATTTAAAAGCACTTTTTCATCGCCTTTTTTTGCAGCCCATATAAGTCCCTGAGCTGTGGAGTTATTTTTTATTGCACGCTATTTCCAGCACTGCTTTATTTAACGATTGGCTCTCAGATTTTAAACCTTCAACAGTTTGTAGCAATACTTATTAAATATCTAGTTAGGATAAGTCGGTTTGAAGATCATAAAACACGGTTGTTACTATATTTTTCTATGCATTATTACAAAATCTATTAAACAACATAAAAAATCAAGTTAACACAACGTTCATCAAAGAATTAATCACATATTGTAATTTTTATAGTTCTTGACTACCAAGCTCTGAGCATACAGCATTTCTGATCCTAAACATCTAGTAATTAATAATGTCCTATCCAATCCTAATGTCGAATTGAAGCAGGTTTTTAAAAAAAGTATAAAGAATTGTAGTTTTTTTTTGTAAATTTTTCTACCAAACTATGACTATTTCGGATTAATTGATTTGTAAATGTTTAATTTCTATTAGAAAGTATAAAATAGCCACCGCGTTATCAATGATTTTTGTAAGATATAGAAAGTAAAAGATAAAACTCTTAACTTAATCGGTTTACTAGTAACTTTTTACGTAACCGAATATTCACTTTTGAAAATGTTGGACTTCTTCAAAATCGCTGAGTAATTGCAAAGATAATAATAAATATAAAAGTTCCTCTTTAAAAATCATTAAATTGTCTTCTTCACACTTAACATATCAGAACTTTGTTAATTTATAGTGTATATTGAAAAGAACTGCTATTCAAATCAAGGAATGGGGATAGTTTCAAGTTCATTTCCCAAACCACCCATCTGCAATGGATGACAACACCTAGAGGCTTTCAACTTTCACTGAAATGATTATATTTCTGCTTTTCTCTTTCATTAAATTGTCTTCTTCACACTTAACATATCAGAACTTTGTTAATTTATAGTGTATATTGAAAAGAACTGCTATTCAAATCAAGGAATGGGGATAGTTTCAAGTTCATTTCCCAAACCACCCATCTGCAATGGATGACAACACCTAGAGTCTTTCAACTTTCACTGAAATGATTATATTTCTGCTTTTCTCTTTCAGGCTATGAATGGATTGGTTGGCGCAATGACACACCCAGTCTGATGGGTCGACCCGTGGAAATTACATTCGAGTTCGATAGTGTGCGCAACTTTAGTGCAGTCATCATACACACCAACAACATGTTCTTGAAAGATGTGCAGGTACGTTAAATACTCTTATACAAAAACATGATACCTTACAGAGTACTAAGAATTGTTGGATAGTGTTTCGACATTTAAGTGCCGCCAGTTCAATAAATGAATGCAATTACTCATGCGGCTGCGGTAGGAAGTTTTAAAACAGGGAAAAAACATAGCACAGCCAATCAACAAATTATATAAACAAAGCAGCCAGCAGTTTTTGTTTGTAAATCATAAAACAACAACAACAACACTGCCAATACGAGTATCAGCAGCGAACAGAGCTTCGATAACGGGCAGACAAACTGGCGGCGCAGTGAAATGCTAAACAGTTCGCTGAACGACAACAGCTATAGGAATGAAAAAATAAGCATAAAAAAATAAAAACAATAGCAACAGCAACTGCGACCGCAGTAATAAAATAAAAATTGTTGTCGAGAGCAAGAATACCAAAGAAAAAAAACAGAACGCTTTATAAACAAAACAAACACGAAATCGAACCTAAACAAACCGCAATTGATACGCCAACCAAATGGGGCCCCTGACTGACTCAGACTCAGGTGGCACTTGAAATCGCGCTGAAGTATGGCCATTAAAGAGTCAATTTCCTTACTCGTTGCGCTCTTTATCGAAAGTAAACAAGACACACACGAGGTTGTACGAATATGTATGTATGTACTTGTATGTACGTAGTACATGTGTTTAGTATATAATGATTGGGCGCTGTTTTGTTTACCTAAATGCCAGCAATAAAAAATCGCGCCCATTTATATTGCCATATACTCGTGCCTGTTCTATACGCGTATATTGACGTATACTCGTATACTACATATTTTAGACCGATCACTGCTGATAGCAAACAGCCATAATCTGGTAATAGCATAACAGAACATTTTCAAGTCCATTGACCCATATTATGAGGCAATGTGTTCAAGTTTGCTTGACTCTACAGTAGATAGCGGCAGAAGGGTTTAGAGAATATTTGCGATGTGAAGATGATATTTCGTATCTCTAGAATAAAGAACTAGATGTTCAGCCGGTTCGAAAACAGTTCCGATCTACGCCGATCAAATAATTGTTAATTTTTTAAATCAGGTTTAAGATTGTTTTAGGATGTGTTTCTCTTAAAAAGGAATCTGAAAAAAATTGCGTATTCAGAACTGGTTCAAAAGTAAGTCGAAATTTGTTCAAAATTGGTTTTATGTTAATTCATAGCTGGCTTAAAAACTAATCCATATTATCCATTTCGGAATTTGTGGTTCATTGAAACCTTTATATAAGTATGTAGTTAGACTAGAAAGTATTTCGAAAATGTAAAAAATATACAAATTTTATAAATTTCAGAATGTAATTTGAGAAATAATAAATAATATAATTTATACAATTATATATAATATCAAAAACTCTACAAATTTTATAAAGTACTGTAAGAATTTTAAGAATTAAACAAAAATATCTAGTAATATTGGGATAGGAGAAATTATTACTTTACTAACTAACTTAAAACAGTATTTAGATGTTTCCATATTTAACAATATTTACTGGGCTTTATGATTGATGGTGAGCTTTATACCCTCTAAATAGGTACTGCAGCTTAAATTTAGATGATGAAGGTATTTCTTTCAATATTGAAGTCATAAGAATTATGTAAATAAACAGATTCTACATTAAAAATCACTAACAAATATACAGAAGTATATTTTTTTAAACAAATTATTAACTTTTATTTAAAATTTACTGTACCTTGTATGTGTTTGCCGTTATAACTCAGGTATTATACCTGCCAACCATAGATGACTGATAAGACTTGAAAATTATTTGTAAAACTAAAAACACACAATTGGTGGCAGTTGGTATGAGCTACTTACAAGCATACGAAATATTTCCAATTGAATGTCTTGGCAACCAAGCTACTTCAGATCAGAGAACTTTAATGCTTTATCAGTTTCCAATGTTGTTCGTTTTTCAACAAACGAAATCTGTCTGTTGTCTGATTCGAGCCGAGCATCGTTGGACAGTTTAATAATTTTCCATGCCGTTCAACATCGCTGATAAGCAGTGGAATTACCTTCGCGTCATATTTGTACGTGCATACTTGTAAGCAGGGAGTGCTGTCTGTATTTTATGTAGAGGCATATATAATGCACACTATCGCAGCCAATATGCTTGTCACATTTGTGTCAAATTAATCAATGCATGTTCTGTTTGGTTTGGTTGATATAAAAATGGGGTCCGCTCGGTACCTCCATATGTATCATAATTAAGTATGGCATATATTTGTTACATTTATCACTACATTTTGGATATCAAAGTGACAAGCCGACCAAGCTAATTCAGTAAATGGAATAGCCTGGGGAGAGAGTATGTGATTTGTACATGATTTAAAGGGTTTGGGTTGAGAAGTATGTCAATAGGGCCGATAACAAGAGTCATGTACAACATGCAACTCCACAGGGATTTGGGTCAACACGAACATCATAAAAAAGGAGTAGGAGAAGTTACTGAAACCAATAGCCCACAAATATTAACAATTGTTATACAAAATTATTGAGATTCATTTTAGTTCTTAAACAAATAACTCATAAACAAGAATTGTAGTGCATTTCTTCCTAGTCATATATTTCTGCAGAAAGTGTAATTGTTTAATAAAAATCTTCCCATAGACTTGATGGCTTTAAAAAAATTAACAAATGTTACTTTTTAACATTGTTACAGACTTTAGAAAAAAATAATGAATTCTTTTTCTGAAATAAGCTTGTAAACACACTTTTAACTAAGTGTTCTAAACATTTTAGGGTGCTTTTAGGGGATATATGGCTATTTTTGCTGCAAAAGGTGGATTAGATCGATTAGCTCTTTTTTTTATTATTTTCCTCTTTTCACTTGTAAAGAGTATTTATTGGCTTTATTCCAGCAGTCTTAAAATCATGTTTAACAGAAACTTTTACAACTTATGCGTTAAGAAAAATATCTTTTTTTTATAGTTTTTTTATAGTTTCTAATGAGAAACAACAATGTACTTATCCACTAATTTTGTTTGTAATTTTTAATAAACTCTATAAAACGTCAATATTTTAATACTTAACAACATAAAGAATATTTTACAAAAATGAAATTGAAAAACTCGTTTAAAATTTGATTGTGATGCTTGTTGTTTAAACGGAAGTCAATCGCGTTCGCACACAAATAATTCAACACAACAAAGCCGCACTAATTGGTGGGACCACACGTAGCAGCCTCACACCCCGCCACCCAAACACAGCAGCAACGAAAACAACAACAACAGCAATATCGAAAATGACTTAATCAGAGCCATAAATCTGGGCAGGCATTTTAAAGAGAACCCATTGCAATGGGCCGACTCGAACTCATTAGGAATGCTAAAGACAAAGTCAAACAAACAGACTGAAGGCAGCTTATCGAAAATCTGACATGTAATGACTTTAGCTTCGTCTCTTCGGTGCTTCAATGTTGGCCAACAGCCAACAGGTGTACGGGCGGTGGAGAAAGGTGCTGTTGAAGCCACACGCGTGTCATAATTAAAACGCAATTAGCATAATTTTAGGCTTATCAATGCATCACAAATGGCATTTCGACTATTTATTTCACGGCCGTAGAAATTGTCGTCCGCATGCAAATCCAAAGCCGAAGAAAGCCTCCTAAGTAACTTCATGACTTATGGCCCTGTTGGACGCGCTGTGGCACTCAGCGTGCAGGCCAGAGCGAATGGTAATGAAAAATCATAAAAATGAGAATTATAGCTGGCGATGACGACGACGACGATGAAGATGCCTGTGTGTTGATGCTCTCTAAATTATGGACCCATAAAACCGATGGTCAAGCCAAGTCAGCGTCAGCGTCAGCGTCCAGTCCAGGTGACTGCCATTCAGACATCCCGAGTAGATGTGGAAATGGAAAACGCAGCATCGTGCCTGGGACTTTTGCGCTGAAATGGCGGCAACAAATCAAAGCTAAGAGAATTTGTGGTAATTGAAATTTTATGTGCCGTTTGGCCGCTGCAAATTGAGGGTATACATTGTGGCTAATTAGCTGAGCACTAAACAGCGAATGAAGCGAAATAAGAAGCAATATTAGAGGCATTGGACAATTGCTTAAACAGCTTTTTACCGTGCAATATCTAGAGTGGAATCAGTCGCTTAAAATGATAAAAAATTAAGGAACATGCGAGAAGTGTTGTTGCAGTTACTGCGCTCAGGCTTTGAAGTTTTCATTATTCCACATATGTGGTTCGTAAATCCAGAAAGGGGTCGGCACAAAAACTAAAGTAAGACAACTGCAATTTGCCTATAAACATCAAAACTAAATACACAATGAACTTACAAGCAATAGCATTTTATTAAAAAGAACATCTTAATGTTTCTATAAAACTACTGCATAAATTTAATCTCTAAATATACAAATTTTGACTAAAATCTACACATTTTATACATTGCTCTACTTGTATATTGTGTCAGGAAGTTTCCTAGTCAACTTCCTGACTTAGAAACTCCAATAAATAAGTAAAATAATAATACTGGCTTGCAGTTAAAACAAGAAAAAGTGTACTAAGTAATAATATAAGCGTATGTGTGGTCATAGTTTAAGCTTCCAGGAATAACTATTTGAAGTAAAACCTACACATTTTCTTGACATCCCTTTTGAGCGACAAGAGACAGCTGAAGCTTTTATTTTTATAGTCACGAAATCAAATTCTTGTCATATATTAATAATTTATTTAATCAAAGGAGCTTATTGTTAATGAATTTGTCATAAAAGATAGTTCATCATTCATTTAAATTAATTGTTGTTCACAATTAAATAGACTTACTCCTACTATGCATCACAGTTTTTAAGAAGGTTAAAAACTAGTTCTTTTTTCATAGCAACTAATAACAATTGCTTTTCGACCGAAAAATAAATTCCTGCACTCTTTTAAAGTTGAAGAAATATGCCTTTTATCACTAACGAACTGTTGAAAAGAAAAATAAAATAAAACAAAATATAGTACGTAAAATGTATAAGCTTAAGTAATTAATAAGTCAATAAAATTAGTTTGTACAACAGAGCTGAATTCATCCCAAAATTGAACTACTGCTGCAGCAAATCATGACACATAAAAAGTCCATTCGCAGCCAGACTCATAGATGGGCAGGTACTTACAGCAAGTCAACAACTCATTAGCCATGCTCAGCTACCGGCAATGGGGAAGGCAACACTTACATTTCCGGCTGGCCCCAAAATCACAAAAACGTTGTGCGTGTCCCGCCCAAAAGTGGTTAACGCTTTTTATTGCGCACAACTTCCGCGCACATACACATGGGATCGGCGCATGGTGCGTAAGAAGTAGCAGCAACAAAAACAACAACAACAAGTACGACTATAGTTGCTACCATAACTGAACTTTGCTCCGCTGTCCAATAGCTGACCAAAAAGTGTCAACAAAAACAAAATCCATTCACAACGAGCGTTGAGACTACAAAAGAATGAAAGAACAAACGCATACGAGTACGAGTAGTGTAAAAAAGAAAATAAATGTGATTACTTTAATTATTATGCCACTCACACGCACACGAACACACTCACACACATAGCCACAGGCAGAACCAGAGACAAAGTAGTGTCAGTCCAGTCATACATACATATGTGTACACCACTTCCACCTTCTACCTTCCACTCACTTGGCACACACGTTTGTACTGTAGGGCTTTTTTATAACGAGAAGTGCCTCTCCAAAACAAGGTTTTATTTCGTAGTAAAAACATGGGTTTTAAGAACCAAAGCCAATAATAAACAATTTCTATTTAATATTCTTACAGAGTGATAAGTATGTGATTATATAACTGAAGTTCCACGTTTTTGCTAGATAAAAATGTATTCTTTAAACGCTTTTGAAAGCTTGGGTGAAGTTCTCTAAAACCCGCTCTTAGATTCAAATCAGCACCGATAATTCTAAAGATGCTATATGACGGCAATGCTCTGCTCATTTCCTCAACTCTGTCGTCTTTATAAAATTTACCTTTTGAAAATAATTAATATATAACTATATCTGAATAAAGTTTTTATATTTAAAGAGTAATTCAAAGCTTAAGAAATCGTACTTCAATTTATCAACGCTATCGTCTTTACTTTTTAAAAATAATTAATACATAACAATATCTGAATAAAGTTTTTAAATTTAAAGAGTAATTCAAAGCTTAAGAAATCGTACTTCAATTTATCAACGCTATCGTACTTTTTGAAAATAATTAATATATAACTATATCTGAATAAAGTTTTTAAAATTAAAGAATAATTCAAAGCTTAAGAAATCGTACTCCAATTTATAATATAACATAACAATATCTGAGTAAAGTTTTTAAAATTAAAGAGTAATTCAAAGCTTAAGAAATCGTACTTCAATTTATCAACGCTATCGTCTTTATAAAATGTACTTTTTAAAAATAATTAATACATAACAGTATCTGAATAAAGTTTTTAAAATTAAAGAGTAATTCAAAGCTTAAGAAATCGTACTTCAATTTATAATATAACATAACAATATCTGAGTAAAGTTTTTAAAATTAAAGAGTAATTCAAAGCTTAAGAAATCGTACTTCAATTTATCGAGCTCATAAATACTATTATATTAAGAAGAATAATCCTTTTTAAATAAATATAGAAGAATATATATAAGATTTAAGAAATATTTAAAATTTCTTTTGGAATTGTCTCTAAAAACTACAATTTGTACAGAAAGATAAATTCTTGCTTAATACAACTATATAAAAGCCGTATTCCAATTCTTACTGCCTTTCGTCAAAATAACCATAAAGAACGTTTTGAATGTGGTTGTGTGTGGCTTTGCAGTTCAATCTAAAAGCTATACATACATTTAATTTAAGAACGATTTAAAATTTCTTTAGAAATGTCTCTAAAAACTACAATTTGTACAGAAAGAAAAATTCTTGTTTAATACAACTATATAAAAATCGTATTCTTCAATCACATAATATTCTACATAGTAGCACAGATTTTTAAAGAACTTCGCGTTGCATTCATTCTAGAGAAGTTTGCCTGTAGCAGCATTTATCTCTCAGCTACTCACACCTCCCACTCCCCTCCGTATTGTTGCAGGTGTTCGTACACGCAAAAGTTTTCTTCAGCATTGGCGGACGTCAGTTTGCCGGCGAACCGGTGCAGTTCTCCTACATGCCCGACACCGTGCTGGATCATGCACGCGACGTGACAATCAAATTACATCATCGCTTGGGGCGTTATCTGCAGTTGCATTTATACTTCGCCGCCCGCTGGATGATGCTCAGCGAGATTACATTTATATCAGGTGAGTGCCTCGAGGGAGATGGGTGTTGGATGATGGGGTGATGGGATGATGGGGCCGGTTGCCACGTCGGTGCCAAAAGTGTTACAGCAAAATTATTTTATTAAAAATGTAACGGGCAACAAAAAAAAAAGTAAAAAAACGAGGGTTAACTCGGCTGCAGTTCCGCATGGCGCCCGCTTACCATTTGGTAAGTCAACAGTTCGCTGGCGGCATCACAAAGTGTTCCAATCTAGGTGCTGGTGCTCCATTATGTGAATGGGGCGTGGATTTGCCAGCTGTTGTTTTTTGTTTAAATTAATTTTATATTCAGGTTATATTTTGCTTTAAAGTGCAAGTCCAGAAACGACAGTTTACAAACTATTTTGCGAAAAGCATTGCAGCAGAGTACTCGTAACTTTTAATTGAATGACAAATATCTCTGAACTAAGAACTTCATAGTCAACCAAATTAAGTTACTCTTTTTTATAAAATGCATTTGATCAGACTTATAACGATTTACTACACAGAGGTAAGCAGCGGTTTTAATTTACTTAGCCATCTATTTAGTTCCAACAAATAAAGTTTCATGATTAAAATGCTTTTATTGGCGGAATATTGGGTAGCTGGACGCCAAATCATTGAGAGAAGCTGCAGTTCAAACAAACTTCTCTTCCTTTGCCTGCTGAAACTGTTTAAAACTTTTAGATAACCATGTTGGAAGTGTACAGGAATTATACAGAGGAAACAAATTAAAACAAACTACAGTTATAATATTATTGATATTTAAAAGCATTTGCGATGAGGCATAATTAATTATCTCACTCATTTATTAATCAATCATACATCCTCTATGAGAAAGTCTTCTTACAGCTTCTTACTGCCTTTCCTAGATATTACCATAAACAAGGAATTATGTGTGGTTTGCTTCTGAAAATCAGTCTACAAATTATCTTTTAACTTTCAAAACAAGTCACATTTTAAGAAATAAGTATGCTTTGTCAAGACAATTCTTAGTTCATTCATTAATTCTTAGGCGATTTTTTCATCCATTCTTAGACCAATTAATCTAATACGATTTAGAAAAACCTTTCTAGCTAAAGATTTATTAAGTAATTTGACCTTAAAAACAAAAATTTCGTTCAAAATCTTTTGAAAGCATAAATAATAGGTCAGCCTGTGTATAGTCAGTCAGTTATAAAGTAATTTTGATGATATTCTTAAAGATGATTAATCCTTCCATCACAAACACACTCGAACATCTATGCATATGACCTGTGTCGGCAACACTATCTTCATCAGATATAAAAGTATTTCATTCCAGTAATATAGAATGGATATCTTTCATTTTGTTGCTTCCATAAACTTAAATATATGTCTGCACTGTTTATCTTTCATTTGCTGTCCAAGACTCTTAAATCTTTGGGCCTGCCGCGGCATCGAGACTTTGTGAAGGTGCATGGAAGGTGTGCGGGCAAACAGTAACCATAATTTACCGGCAACTCACAACTCCACACACATAGCGGCAGCAACAAGCACTTCAAACATAAACTGCAGCAGCAACTACAAATGCAACAACTCTGAGCAATTGAAAATTCCTCTGACACTAAAAATTCGTTGCGCATTTCATTAAAACGAAGCAAACGACTCGAGAGCTCGAACGAGTCGACTGTGTCGATGTCGATGGTGCAAAATATATTACACCAACATATATGTACATACTTTGTACATATGTGTAAATAGATGTACGTCACTGTGAACTCATTTTATACCTGAGAACAGATCACACTGGCTTCTTACATTGTGCATATACTATAACTCTAGCCTGATTTCAATACTTCGTCGAGCTATTTAAACTTTTATTTTAAGTTTTTGCATTAACAATATTTGCAATTGCTCTTTCAGAGTCCGCTTTCTGAAGAGCTATGAATATTTATTTCCAAGCTAATTATCAGCTGAAGCTGAAGCTGCGGCTAAATTAAAGCAGTTTTTATATTATTATTGTTATAATTATTTATTATATCCAATATCCAATTCTAAACACAATTCAAAAGATAAACGAAGTATAGTAGAGAGAACTTAAATCACATTTTATAATACTAGTTTTGTATGAATTTAAAGCCATTGTGACTAAACCAAAAGCACATCCTTAATTAAAAAGAATAGCTAGTAGCTATATCTGGCTTTTATTATAATGAATACGCTACCATTAGAGATATCACAGCTGTGCCTCGCTAAGATAATTCAAAATAGGAGCGTCTGGAAGTAGTAGAATAAAAAGTAAAGTAAATAATGGAGCACAATGAAGACCCTTACTACTCGATTTGTGGCAAAAATATGCCTCACATAAGACGAACGAAAGACAGAATAAAAGCTGTGGGTAATCTCAACGTAATAATTGTGGAAAAAAGCGGAAAATAAGTGCGAATAAAGCCTCTGGAACCGCACTAGATTGAATCGAATTCGATTACAGAGTTAAGATTGCAAAACAACCGTAAAGATGCTGTCTTTAGCTGCATTTAATCCAGCACTGTTCTCACATTGCTCGATGAAAATGTGGGCTAGTGTGAACAAGATATAGTGGCGGCATGGGATCAGGTTGAGGCGCACGAGTCTGCTTTGTTTTTCTTCCGTGTGCAATTGTGCATGGAGCGATACAAAGAAACGAGGGCAGCGCTGGCGCGGAGCAGGCAAGTTGCCATTGTAACAAGCATGGGAAACGGAAAGCACACACATGCATACATATCGCATACTCAGAGACACACACACATGCAGTACCCCTGGCATATGCTACACGAGCACACAAGCACAAGGATATTGTGAAAATTAAATGAGTTGCATTACTTTTGTGCATTTGAAATTTGCAACTCAATGAGCATTCAACGCACCCAGTCGACTCGACTCGACTCGCCTCGATTCAAGGCGAGTACAAGAGTCGAGTAGAGTCGACTCGAGTACGAGTCCTAGCAGAGCAGCAGCATCATACCGCGTTCCTGTTCCATTGCTTCCTCCTCCTCGTCCTCCTCCTCCTCCTGCCCTTTCCTCTTTGCACGTTGCATAATAAACCAGCTGCTGTGTTTTTTTTTTCTCTCTCTTACTTTTGTGCCTTTTGCTTTTTTGCCGTTGGCTCTGCGTTGTGTCTTAGCCCACGTCATTGCTTACAGTTTCCACCCCAGCGTTACTTTTCTCCTCCACCTCCACCTCCACCTCCCCTTGCTCATCCCATTCCATGCATTTTAAGCTCGACAAGTACTTTGCTTTATAAATCAATAACATTGCAATATATTTTTGCATACCACCTCCTGGGTACTTGCTGTTGTTGCGCTATCCTTGTTGTTATCCTTGTTTGTACGCTTTGATTTTGATGCAGTCGCTCATTTATTCATTCATTCATTCTTTGAGCCAACCGTTTCATTGAAATTCATTTCAATAACTGCTCTGCACTCCATTTTGCCTTAAATCCTTCTGCAATTTCGCTCGCTTAATCCTTTCTAATTGAAAATCGTTTTGTGTGAGTGCAAGTCTGCAACTCTGTCTATCTTAAAGTGTGCATGTGTGTGTGTGTCAAAATCTGGGTGAACAGACATGCTGGGCGCCTCGTAGCCCTGGCAACACAAATCGCATCCATATCCGTGCATTCGATTTGAGGCACCGCTTCGCATCGCTTGGCCTTGAGCAATGAACAATTTGTTACATTGTGCGTCATTGCGCATTTCGAATTCGGCCGCAATTTGCCTAATGGCTGAGTTCAAGTACATTTGAGACATGAAATTTGGCGGCAATAAGGATTAAATGAAGCCCATACCCAAACGGTTATAGCTCAGAAGGTGATGAAATGGATAAATAATTTCGAGTGCATTTACTTCATAAAATACTTTCGAGTCTGACGAACATACGCTTATGTTTTTCATGGCGTTTGAATATATAGTATATATTGAATTAAAATACGTAATCCTACGTTTGTCCAAAAGAAAATACTGATATTTTTGGAATGCTTAAAATAATCGGCTTAATGAAAATTTATTACTAGTATTTGTCATTAAACTTCACTTCCTTCGGGTAAGCAAATTGTATGCCATAACTTGAAAAGATAAGAATATTTTACGCTAAAATAGTTTAGCTAATGTCGAGCGGCGTTTCTAACTTCAAATTACTCGCATATTTAAAATCTATTCAACAATGTACTTTTAAAGCCAATAGAGGCTCCTGAAATGAAACTCATAAGTTACCTCAAATAATTACCCCTAATTCTGCAATTTCTTTAAACATATTCCAAAATATTCGCATATTCGCATTAACGACTTCATAAATGCCTAATGAACTAATAATTCATGCAGATGTGTGAACAGTTTCTTATATTATTCTTTCCAAATAACAGTTTGGAATAAAAACATGTTATTTAGATCGTCTGCTTTCTCATACTTTTCTTGCAATCTTAAATGAGCATTAAGAAAATCGACAGAACACAAACTTTCGCGTACCCGCGTCAAGTGCCCATTAACATATTGTCGAGTCAAGAGAAATTCGCATATTTTCGACTTTATTTTGTCAACATGTGACACTCACTGCCCATTGCTCTGGCCCCTGGCTCCCCGAATGCTTATCCTCCTACGCGTCGTAACATGGCATTTTAAATGCCCGAAATGGCGTCACAACAAATTCAAGGGCCAACTTGTGCCCCACCACATCCACACACAATGATAAACGCTAAACTAGAAACTGAACGAATTGCGAATTCCGCCATCGCTATTTGCATAGCAAATTCAAACACACAGAAGTAAACAAAAAACTTTTGCTACCGAAAAGTTGCGAAAGAAAATAGGCGCGCAAGGCACGCAGCAACAGTGAAAAACAAGTTCAAAATCAATGCCAAGAGCGGTTAAAATTTGCATTCCTCAACAGTTCTTTTTTTTAAATTTATACAAATGCCGGGCTTTTGTTTTCAAATATCGAACCAGCTAGCTGCTCCCTGGCTATCTCTGTTGTTGGGGTTCAGCAAACGCCCCATGGCGGAAATGCATTTCGAAAATGTTGAAAATGTTGAAGGGGCCGAAGCATCAAACAAACAAAGTCAACAGCCCTCCCGACCGTCGGAGTCCGTCGGGTAAACAGCCGAAGGGCGCTACAGTGGTAGAAGGGCAGAGTTTTTTCATGTTGTTGTTGTTATTGACGACTGTCTGAGCTTTAGATATTTTTCATTTTTGCTATTTTTTGCTCGTCTAGAGTTGCCAAAATCAACAAGCAAGGCGGCACGCTCCAACGCCTTAAAGTGCTGCAGCATTTTTATGGGCGACACCTAAAAGTCTGCAGCACTAATTGGCACTCAAAGAAGCATTCTTCTCGTCAGTCAGTCAGCCAGACAGGCAGTCAGTCAGCTTGATGACACATGGTACGCTCATTTATCATAATAATCGCTCCCTCTAATTACACCGCGACGTAATGGCGAAGGACCGCAGCTGAGCCAAAGCTGCCACCAAGCTGGAGAGAGTAAGTACAAACCATTAGCACAGGATGTTTATCAAGGCAGCAGGCAGTTGTCACACGCCCCCAACAGCTCACCTGTCCTGACTGTCCTGACTGCCCTGACTCTCTGACAGTTGAGGCGCCCTATCCCGACTGCATTTTGTAGCCCACTTAGTTGCAAATGAGCGCATTTCTGGGTTGCTGCACTTTTTTTTCGGTCTGAATGATTTTCTAACCCACTTTCTTCATACTTATTCTTGCAGTGCCTGTGGTGGGCAATTTTACGGATGAGGAGCTGCTCAATGTGCCGCCCAACGGTGTGCCGGACACATCGGAGTACCCGCTGCAGCGCGATGAGGTGGGACGTGCGGTCAGCAGCGGAGGCGAGCGTAGCCAGCATACCACTCAAGGTAAGTGGCCAGATTCTCTCAAAATTAGAAAATAAAGTAGCTATAAAAAGACGTTGAATAAAAAAATCAATTTTCAATAAATTTATGGCCCCACATTGGGCGCCACATAATAATGACTAGAGCAGCTATAAAAAGACGTTGAATAAAAAGTCAATTTTCAATAAATGCCCCACATTCGGGGGAGTATTGTAATATAAATAAAAAAGCAAAAAATGCCGACAATAACCTCATAAGCTCAGAAAATGTAATACTATATCTACATTTTGGGAGAAGAACCCCCACACTGAACGCCACTAATAGCAGTGAACGAATAAATAGTTTTATTTTATAAAACTGCCTCATTATTATCTCGTTCTTAACACAACAATTGAAGTTGTAAACAATAGAGCCGCAGTTGGGAGTCGGACAATATAGACGTATCTATTATTATGCAAAAAAATATATATGTATATATTCTCGTTATATTTTCGCTACATTTTTTTTTACGCCAAGTAAGCGTAAAAATTGTTAGCTGTTGCAACAACAAAATGGCAAGAAAATGTGCAAAACTTTTTCATAAAATATTCAGCAAAACAACTCGCGTTCGTATTTTTCATTATGAATGTTTTACTTTTTTTTTATTTTTTTTTTGGTTATAACCCTACTTGGTTGCCCTTGCCAGACAGATATTTTGTTGTTGCGTCAGCTTGCCACAAAATTTAATAGCCTCTGTTGCTATTTCAATGCAAATTCTTGCTCACACTTTTTTTTGTCTGCTTCTTCTTCTTCTTCTGTGCTTCCGCAGTTATCTCGCCAAAACCCATTGACCATCAAGAACCGGAAACAAGTTTCGTTGGCGTCATAATCACCGTTCTTGCAACGATTATTTTACTGCTTGTCGCTGCCATACTTTTAATAATTGCGCGCAATAAACGCGGACGGGGACGTGGCAACGTTTTGGATGCTTTCCAGCACAATTTCAATCCGGACACTCTTGGCGGCGTTGAAAAGCGACTGAATGGCAATGTCGGCTTAAAGGTAAGTTCAATACGAGCTCATGAATGAAGCGCGAAGTAGCGGTTAAGACCTTAACGAGCAGAGATAGAATTGGGTCCCAGAGTCAGTGTATTCATTAACATTCTACTATATACAAAACTTTGTTGGATAGAAATGGCTTGTGGGTCTTCAACGGCATTCAAAAAAGTTCCCGAACCTAAAGAAGTTAACCGTCAATGGGCAAATTTCATAAGCTGAGCTGAGTACTCAGCTGTGGGCTGGTCAGCACCCAAAATGCATGTCAAACATGCTGCACTAAAAGTGCAAACACCCCAGGTCACACGAATCTAGCCCGCTCCCCCCGACGAAAGAAAGGAAAGCAACAAACAAAAAAAATGTGAACGCACAAAGGGTTAACGCATAAAAATGCTGGCAACCTGGCAACGTCCGATCCGAAGCGTTCGTCCATATGCAGAAATCATGATTAAAAACTGCAAACGCAATGTGTTGAATGTGCTGGATGCTGGCTCTGGATCCTGGATGAACATTGTCGGCCGGCATTTGCTTAGGGCCAACATTTTTGGCCGAATAGCGCAGTTTTTGCCGGAGCCGGCTGCAAGCTGAGCAAAAAAAAAAAAAAAACACACACACGAACGAACTAGGCAAATTTTTTACTACAACATGCTGCACAATACATTTCATTTTTTTCTTCCTCTTTTTTTTTTTTTGTTTCTTGCAAACACTGATGTCTCACCCCCTTTTCCAGGTGGTCACAACAATGGATGACAATGAGTCGTCCATTGACAAGAACAGTCTCTATCATGAGCCCTACAATGTGAACATGTACACGAGCGCGGCCAGCGGTTGCTCCATGAATGACCTGCAGCGTCAGCATGTAACGCCGGACTACACAGGTGAGTGAGTGCCGGGAATGGGGATGCGGGATGCGGGCAGTGGGCTGTGGGGTTAACGCGTGGCATAGCTGACAATGATGTGTTGTAGTATAGTAAAGCAGCTTTAACAGTGGTTGCGAGTTGAACTCACAGCCGAACAATTTATTTGTATACCAGGATTCCTTTTTCAATGTTTCGTGTGCATTGCTCTGATAAGGCTTTAGAAAATGCCACAATTAGCACCCAGAAGGTACAGCTATCATTATCATTTCATTATCATCAACCTTCTGTTAAATGGTTGCGATCCCCGACATTTGAAATTGACTTATAAAATTTGTAGTTTCCTTTTTTGCAGTGAGTGGAACTTTTTACAAAAGACATGCAGCAGAACTTTGTAGAAAAATATTATTAATTTATTATAACTGATAAATAAAGCTATCAAATATTTGTAGTAAAATATTATTATTATAACTGAAGAACAAAGCCATTTGATGTAAATTTGTTCGTAAAAATAATAATTTAATTTAAAATAATAATAATAATTCAAATTAAAAATGAACTAAACCTAAGCTTTAATGACTTGGTCTTAAGTTTAAACTTAAGAAAAGAAAGAAAAAGAGAGAAACTAAAGAAACTTCAGGAGCATTTTCAAACACTCTTTAGAGACACTAAAAAGAAAGGTAGATAGATCACCAGTTAGCTTCTACCTATAACTGATAAAATGCCTTTTTGGGTTAGCTTTGTCTTTCAAAAACTCTTGTCGATTTAGTTGCAGAACCTGCTGGAGAATATTTATTAAATAAAAGGAGAGTTTTTAAGAGCTTTGTCACACCTTAGTTGGGCCACTGTGCGATGATATCGGCATGGGGTGCAGGGCCATAAAGTTCGCTCACAGCATGGCACTTGTCTGGTGTCGCTGCTGATGAGTTTGATGTTTTGTGTCTGTGACAGGACATGCAAATGTTTCTGCAGAGCGTTTGGGTAAAAAAACGAAAAAAGAACGAGGAATGCTTAATTTAGCGCGCAACATGATGCAAAGTTGAGTTGAGCTGGTCACCGACGCTGTAGGTGCCAGGCTTTGCGAAAGTACAGTAGAAAGAACGCGCATCGTTCCCACCGCAGGACATAATTTTGAATTGCAGCTGCCGGCTATCTTCCACCTTTTTTTTTTGTTTCCCTGTTCCTACACACATCATGCTTTATGACAGTTACCACGTAACATGTGCACAGGGTTTAATTGCCACACACATGCCTGCACACTGAGGTTAGAAGTTGTATTCGTATGTATGTATGTATGTAGCTCTAGACGTTGGTAATTTGTAATGAATTCTAATGTCCTGCTGTAAACACTTTTTTGTGCCTTTTGGGGTCAGCATTTATTTTTGTGAGCTGCCATAATCATAAAATTGACAGTGTACAGGACACATTGTTTGCACATTCCTAGAACATGGCTGCTCTGCACTGCACTCACAGGAGTCCTTTATGTTGCGCACTAGGACTTATATTACCTTCGGGTGCATTTTACAACTCTGGCACCGCCACAACAACATGTTTGTCTTACTCGTCATCGTCCGTTTGCGTCTCCATCTGTCCATATAATAATTTAATTTAGCTCAAATAAATTGCGACTTCAAGCGAAAAGCCCCAAATGCCAGTACAGCATAGTTTCGCGCTCACACACACGCACACATACACACACACAGAGGAGAGACACACACGCCAACTCGAGTGCTTCAAACTTTGACCAAACTTCCAGGCAACTCACTCAAATTAAAGTCCATTTCTGGAGTCAACTGCCAATTTGCACTGAAGAGTGTGCCAAAAGAAAAAAAAACTAAACTAATAACATTGCATGCAAATAAACATGGCAATAAGCGTGAGGAGCCGAGCACGAAAGTCGTTAAAAGCAGGTCGGGTTAAGTGGTTCAGAGGAGACAGTAAGTTTTTGATTAGGCTTTACAACGATTTAAGTGCGCTACACAAATCAGAATATTACAACTTAAAAAAGGGCATTATTTTGATTCAAAAAATATATACTTTTTAAATAATAAATATTTCTTAAAAACTTAATTGCGCAAAATCGAACGCATTTCGGCTAAGGTCATTTAAAATTTGATCAGCTAGAAGTGGGGAAAAAATAGATATGATCGGAATAATCAAAATATGTAACAGGACAAATTAAACCCGATAGTTGTTGAGGCCTTACAACAATTTAAGTGCGCTACACAGATCAAAATATTATAATTAACATAAAAAAGAGCCTGCTTTTGATTCACAAAAAATTTCCTATTTAAATATACATATCTCTTAGAAGCAAAAGAATTTAAATTCCGGATAATTGAATGCATTTTCAGCTATTTAAATGATCAGAATAATCAGAAATGTAATAGAACAAATCAAAGTCGATTGTTTGTTGATTGTTAGGTATTATAAATGGCTTTTTTCTGAAGAATATACCTTTTAACTATTTATCTCTTAATCTGTACTCGAGCCCTAAGTTAACGCCTTAATACATTAATAGATACATATATGAGCATAACAGTTTGTATATATAAATGGATTATCAGATTATTTTAATGTAGTATGTGTTCTAATATATATTCAAGGTATGTTTGTATTTTAAATACATATTTGATTTAGGAAAGTCTATCGGTGTTAATTAGATATTATTGTTATTAGATTTCTCCTTCCTAGGCTTTTCTAGCTTATAAGATTCTTTTTATAATTTTTATATATTTTCCTCCTATGTCCACCGTCAATGTTTGTTGACAAAAATAAAATAAATAAATAAAAGATACCCTATAACTACTGTATATTTCCCAACAGTATATATCACTTTATCTAAACATACGATTATGTACCATCTGCGTTTGTAGGGATCATAATTTTCAATGAATACTTTGATATAACTTTAAATGCTATTCCAGAATTTGGCACACTTTTGTATGCATTCTATTCGATATCTTTGTATTTAAACTGTTCTATCAAAACCATTATACCAAGCACCGACAATATAGCGCACTTTAGCTGCGATTTCGACTGCAAAACTTCGTTGCAACAACAAAATTGTGGCACTGATTGCTCAAATACACAGCCATTGAGACACAGACATAAGTACAAGCTCATGCATAGTACACACACACACACTTATATAAACACACACACACACAGACACACACATGCAAATTCCAACTCGCATACGAATTTCGCACAGTCGTCGAAAAGTTTTGTCATTAACGTTCGTTTGGTGACCCCCTCCTCCTCCCCATTCCCTCCATCGCTCTCTTTATCAGATTGTCTATGCCTCTCCCCAGCTAGTTCGCTCGCTCGCTAGTTCTGTCTGTTATTTTATGTTTTCTTGTACTTTTGGGTCTCAGCGAATGCAAAAATGACGACTTGCAGGGAAGACAGACGCACACACACGCAGACACACACACAACGGACGGACAAACTAAATAATGTTATTACAACAACAATAAAATTAAAACTTATCTGTCTGCCTCTTCGTTGCATATGGCGAGCGAGAAGTAGAATGAGATAGAGAGAGAGGGAGGGAGAGAGAGAGAGAGAGAGAGAGAGAGAGCAGAACGCCGCGTCGCACAAGTTGCAATTAATTTCATTTAGTTTTTTGCCACACGGCATTTTGTATTGTCGGGGGTTTGGGTTTCGGTTTAGTTTTGGAACAAGATTGGGGTTCTGCTATTGTTTTTTTTTTTGTCTTTTTCTACTTTTTTTCAACAACGAGAGTTGACTAAATGGGAAAAGTTTGAAGCTGGCACAAAAGTCTTGGACTTGCCGGCAAGACAAATGAAAACGAGAGACAAAAGGGCAGTTGGACTAGAAGTAGCGTAGCTAGAGTGCCCGAGAGAGGGCATCAAGGAGCAACTTAGAGAGAAGTCCAGAGAGCGAGAGGTGATGGACCGCATGCAAAAATATTGTGCGCAGCTTTGTAGGGTACATGTATGTGTGTGTGTGGTTTGCCTGGCATTTCAATTTATGAGGCGAAACGCACGGCCGAACACCACCAAGCCACTAAGCGTGAACATATGCATGAACTTAGACAGAGATGGCATATGTTTTAGAGCAAGAAAAGGAAACAAAAAACACTCACACACACACACATAAAACTTTGTGTATAAGGAATTGAATTTTGTGGCATCTTTTGTTTAATTCGTTGGGTTAAACTTTTGCACTTGAGCTACGGCAGGCACGTAAAATAACGCTTAAGAAGTTTCACGTGTAGTGCTTTAAATAGGAGATCATGCTGGCGTTTAATGTGAAGGTACCCTACAGATGATACACCCTTCAGCTGCAGCATCAGGAACAAGATTGCTTCAAAAATAATACAAAAATTTGACTATATTTGTTGAGGCATTCAATATGTGACAACAAATTTCTATCTGGCCTGTTTCCATTTAGAATTTGTTTTCAAAAGTAGCAAAATAGGTAGCATTCCGAGAGAGGATTATTTACATTTACAGTGAAAAGTCTCTTAATGGAACAAAAGTTGGCCGACGGTGATTGTCCGGCCAAGAGAGTTTTCACTATATATGGTTCCAAATGAGTCCAAAACATTTATAATGGTCAGATAAAGCATACAAGAGAAATAAGATTATTTATAAATCAAGTAATTCACGTGATGCAGTCATAATAGTAAAATTATTTTTTGCATGATTCGGAAAATGTTAAAATAAAACTTTTTAAACTGTTTGACTATTACACAAAATAATCTAAAAGCTTAAAAAATCTAATATATAGACATCTGTGGGCAAAAAACAGCTGAATTCGTAAATTTGAAGGGATTCGCCTATTTATTTTCCAGCCATAGTTGCATATTTATTTTACGATTACAAGTTTGCCAGAACATGTTAAAGTAATTCGTTTTTGAAGAAATATTGATAACGGAAACAGATATTTTTATCTTAAAAATATATAAAGATTTATTATTGTGTTATCTTAAAAACATTTTATGTGATCTTTTTATCTTAAATATATATAAAGATATATTTTTGTGTTATCTTAACAACATTTTAGGTGATGGTTACGAATTGAACTAGCAGGATGATTAAGTTTTGTAACAAATAAAATAAGAGATAGAATCTATAAATTGGTGAAAAATTGTACAGCTGTCGTTCTTTTCGTTCTTCGCTCAGACTTTTGAAACGTATTAATAACCTTTTTTTAAAGCAATGCCCTAGCATCTGTGCAATAAAAAATCAGAGAGTTTTCAATCATGAATATCAGCTGCGAAGGGCTCAAAATGTTTCGTGCTTCAAGCTACCCAGGCTATAGGAAAGTTTGTAAGAAGGGGTGTGTGTGGTGTTTACTGCTTGCTACGTTTTACTGTTTAATGACCAGAAATTAACACCAAGGGTTTCCTCTTCTTTTCATTTCACTCGCAGATGTTCCGGACATTGTGTGTCAGGACTATGCAGAGCCTCACATGCAGGAGCTGCTGCCCAACGGAACACTGAGCACAGCAGTCGCACGCAATTCTTTGAATGCAGCCGTTGGCGCCACCGCAGGACCACCACCGGTGCCACCACCACCGGAGAAATATTACGCAGCCACACCAATTGGTAACAGCAAGCCCAGTACCATGCCCACGGCCGGCTCTCAAAGCAGCGGCTCACTCAGTCTCAGCTCCTCGACCGGGGCGGCCACCACGCCCACGGGAGGCAGCGGCACCGGCAAACCCCATCATTACAATTTGGATATAAGCGCTAATTTTGCCGACATCAACGAGGAGCAGGCCAATTGCCAAGTGCAGGAGTTTCCGCGCCAATCTCTGGTCATCGTCGAGAAGCTCGGCACTGGCGTTTTTGGTGAACTGCATTTGTGCGAGACAAATGTGTTGGGGTAAGCTACAACAGCCTACAACCACCGTCCACCCACTTACCACACTCTAACCACTCAACGGCTGTTGGCCACTTGTTTTGCTTTAATCGTGTTTGACGTTTGACGGGGATGGTAGACGGCGCACCGAGCTACTTCATGGGTAGCATGTGTGCCACTGTTTGTGGCACAAAAATGCACTTTCTGTTCGGTCCGCAATTTTAGGGCAGGCCAAAATAGGCTGCTCTCGACCCGGATTGCTGTTGCATTTCAGCCACTAGGGTTGCAGGTTGTTTTGTAACTTATGGCCAGCATTGTGGTTCAAATTCAAGCGGTTAATCATCCGACGCGCAATAATGGTGTATTATTGTTTAATAAACTGCTGTTTTGTTTCAAAGTAGGTGTTCCATGCAAAGTTGATGCTATTTGATATTCTCACATAAGAAAATGGAAACATATTTAGCCAACTCCGAGAACATCTCTGTCCACAAACGGACAGGCTATTAAACCTTTTATTCATTCGTATTTTATTACAATTATGTAAAAGTCAGAGAAAAAGTATACTTAACTTAGTATACAAACAAGAGAGAACACTACAGTCGAGCAAGCCCGACAGTGTAATACCCTGTACCCAGGTAAACTTCCGTCACTGAGTTATATGCGCCCATAGCAGCAACAAAAAGAGGAAGAAGAAGAGCGAACTTGTTGCTGCAGTTTGTGGGGGTTGTACTGGCGAGAATTTGTTTCGCTAATAACTTTTCTTAGAATTGACCGAATTGAATAAAATTTTGAACAACAGTAGACAATTATATATAAATTATGTGTGCAAAGTTTGGTTTAGGTAGCATTTGAAATGTGGACGCTATTGACGAAATTCTGTAGCGGGGGAAGGGGGGGAAAATTAAAAAAAAAAAAAATAAACTCGTCCTTACTCGGACCTAGGAGAATCTGGATGCCAACTTTGGTTATTCTAGCTTTCATAGTTTCTGAGATCCTCGCGTTCATCCAGACGGACGGACAGACGGACGGACATGTCTAGATCGATTTCTCTCGTCATGCTGATCAAGAATATATATACTTTATGGGGTCGGAGATGCTTCCTTCTGTATGTTACATACTTTGCACAAACCTAATATACCCTTTTTACCCTACGGGTACAGGGTATAAAAAGTTTGAAAAGTCAGCTTAGCTGAAAAATATTTATACCAAGACCAAAAATCGTATTTAATATGCGTTGAAAAATCTTGATTTCAGACTGCTTTTGGCCCGTTTTTAGTCTCGATCAATAAAAATAAGGCTTGATCTAGGCACACTTTAGTGGATTGTGTACTTGAGTTTTGAAGTACGATTCGAAACAGAGTAGCAGTAGCGAATAACAATTAAAATTCATTTCAGTAATCCAAGTTGTTATTAAATATTAGGAAGGGATTGCTCTTTCTTAATAAATTTATGTATTTTTATGAGAACAAGAAATAAGAAATTACAAAATAAATTGTTTAATTGCTGTATTTAAAAGCACTTATTCAAGAGCTCCTGCTTTGGAGTATTTATATATATTCTTAGATGCCAGAGCTTTATTCTTTTTTGCCAACTATTTACCATATCAGAGAGCTTACACTGGGTTCGTAATCTTGCAACAGCTCTCTCGTATAAAACGGTGCTCTCTACGAACACTTTAGTCAAAATTAAAGAAAACAGTTTTCTTTAAGTAACGAAGTATGGACGTGGAGTTGTTAAGTTCTCGTGGTGGCATTATGCCATAAGTCTTCTTTTTGCAATTGCAGACCGCAGCAAAAAGTACAGATGTTGGCAGACAGAAAATCAAAAATTCGTATAACAATAGTTGACAATGACAGAAACCGCAATACTTTAATATATAGTATAGTATAACCAACCAACCATCCAAACGCACACTCTCATTCTCCACTTTGGCAGCAGCGCATCAAACAGTTAGATGAAAAGGCATAAAGCAAACGAAACAGATACGACAACAACCTGCCGGCAGGTTCTGAAGAGTGCTTCTATAGTAGATATATCGCTGTGTCTGCGGTAACAATAATAACAACAACAACTGCATCAGAAGCAGCAGCAGCCGCAGCAGAAGCAACAACAAAGAACAGATCACACACATGCATAAAGAAGGGGTGAGAGGAGGGGACAGATGGGGGAAGGGGGAGAGCAGCCACAAAAAAGCTTATCAGAAATTCCATTATGAAAACTTTAACCGAAAACCCCGAACCGAAACGCAGTTTGGTTTTTGTCAACGTCAACAGCTACAGCAACAACAATAACAATAATAACAACAACAAGAAACGGGTAGCATTGGGTGTCATGCTGACAGCAGCAACAACAACAACAATAACAACAAGTTGGGGTTTTCGTTGTTACCTTTGATTTCATTTTTGTCGTTTAATTGAAGCTTTTTATTACACATAATGTATGAAGGTATGTCTGTATCTGTTGGTTTCATTGCAGCCAACATTTTGTCTCATGCAGCAAATGTTTTTATTTCTGCTACGTACTTGTACTTCTTCCTCTGCTTCGTCTGCAGTCTGGCCAACTGCAGTACAACGTGGCGTATGCGTAACATTTGATTTTATACGTCTATTATAATTTTCCTCTGTGGTCTATGACAATAAAGTCCATCTGTTGTCTGATAACTGTCCATCCAGCTGTCTATTAATATTTTATCAGACTGTCGCACTTCATAGGACGGATAAGGTGCCACACCCATACATACATACCCATGCCCATGCACACACCTACTCTTCGCATGCTAGCCACAAAAGGAGTTGCAGAAAAAGGGAGCCAAATTATTGGCATATACGATCAGCACTTCAATATAACCAAACGAACTCTAGATGTGTGCCCATGTGTGTGTGTGTGTATATATGTGTTAATTGTTTTACATACATTTGTCTGGGCTGTCTGCCTTTCTGCCTGTCTATCTCGAGGTATCCCAGCTCATATAGATACTGCAGCTATATGCACACGGACGTATACGTAATACGTTTTGTGGCTTTCAAACCGCAAAACTATTAAAGCAAGCAGGCAAATCGAATTGTTACGGAACGTATCCAATTGCAGGGTGGTCAGAACTACATATATACATATACACTCGTACATTCTTATGCACGAATGAGGACCATAGGCATTGTTGAGCCAGTTTAATTGATTTTTGACCCAAGGAAGAGTTAAGTTGTCATAGCAATTTAAAAGAAGGAGTGCCATAAGATAATGGCATTTGTACTCCTATGTACTTGTATGTGTATAAGGCAAATTATAAGGTACATGCATATTCAATAAGAAAAACTAATGCTCGCATGTGCAAATTGTTGCATTTGCAGTAGATACCAGTTTTATTGTGTATTTTTTATTAAAATACTGGAAGGAAATTCCCTCTTCTCCTTCCAAAGAAAAATATCAATCTAACTTAAAGCACAAATTAATTTGAAAATCAAATCCCAATCTTAAAGGGGCTTTTTGTTTGTGAAAGAAAGATGCAGTAATTTGTATTGCTTTTGATTCCCCCCGTTTATATGTTATTTTATTTGATGATATGTCGTTTATCCTATATGTTTTTGAATTTATCAACGAATGCAGAGGCTAAATCACATACTTCTTCTAAAAATATGTATGTCCAATTTTGAATTAGTTTGTAGATAATTTACTTTGGTAATCGTGACGAAAAAATATTTATTCTGCATCAATATTTAATGACAGACTTAACTAAAAGCATTGCTTTTTTAATAAAAATGAGTACTAAAGGCTAGACATGTGTTTACTTCTTTGCATATTTTGTTGAAGTACGAATACGTTTAGAAGTGTTTGCATATTTATTTTTCTCATTATCGTTATTGTTCAAATTCCTATATTTGTACTTATTTATTTCTTATGAAATGAATTAAATAATTGTCATATTTATTCAACATCAATTGTATAATCTTTCTCATCCACAAACGTCTGGGCAGGAAGGCAACTCATTCTTACGAATTAAACACCAAATCGCACGATAGCTTGTGGGCGTGACTGGCAATGATGCAGACAATAGAAATTTTCATTAATGTATTTATTTACTTAGCTATCCGTTGCTGTTAGCCTAATTATAGGTAGCCATAACCAATGGCAGCAATTGTGTTATTATTTTATTTGTTTTATTGCTTTATTTGCCGCAATATCTAGCATTGCCTTTCTCACACAACGAGTAAAGCAAATTAAAAGCACTTTGAAAATGTAGCAGCACGAAGTTAGCAACGGAACAAAACATGGATTATTATAATAACAAGAGTACAATTAAAGTATTTCATACAACGAATTTATAATCAAAAGCAAATACAAAATGAATAAAGGTTTTAAAGCAACTACTTATTTCTGGATATATACTCCATTCAGCTCTTACAAAGCATCAAATTAATTGGTGATATATGTTTTTCAATTAAACGCGCACATATTCTACACACAACGTTTAGAACAAGCGATCAGGCTATGCGGAAAAATGGAAACCAATAAAGCGTTTATGAGTAACTAACAAATTACAAAAGCCAAGCTTAAACATTTAGACAAGAAGGTGAAAAAGAAACAATAGTAATAATAATAACTTAAGCAGAAGTAATACTTTACCAAATTAAAGAGTGAGATAATTTTCAAAACAAGCTTTAATTGGGTTGTTCCTAAAAATATTTTTTCTTTTTCTTTACACTTATTTTATTATCAACATTTTATATTTTCTTCCCAAACAGAGCCACTCTGGTGGCCGTCGCCACACTTCGTCCCGGTGCCAGCGATCATTTGCGCAAAGAGTTTCGCTCAAAGGCCAAACAGCTGGCTCGTCTAAACGATCCGAATGTGGCACGGCTAGTGGGCGCTTGTTTGCGAGACGAGCCCATCTGCATAGTACAGGACTATTCCAATTGTCTGGGAGACTTGAATCAATTTCTGCAGGAACATGTGGCCGAAACCAGCGGCCTGATGGCGAATAAGAGCTTGAGGTAAGCCAGCAACCCCAGTGTGAAAATTGAACTTGGCATCTAATGTGTTGTCTTTGCGATATGCTGTGTCTTTTACTGTCTTTTTTTTCCCAACGCTACTTTACTGCGTGCGTTTTTATCGTGTTTCCTGTACCGACGCCATTTGCCGACGCTACACTTCCGGTCTCGTGTTCAATGATTACGACGATCCACCACCAACATGCGCAAACGGATGTAAAAACTTCGTTAACTTTGCTTCTGCTGCTGCTGCTGCTGCTGCTGCTGCTGTTGCCGCCACGGGGTTGCCGCCTGCACGCGAAAACTTTTCAAATTCTCATTTGACGTTGGCATCTTCCGCTTGCTTCCGCCTTTTGGTAGCTATGGCTGCTTAGTGTACATTGCCACACAAATTGCATCGGGCATGAAACATTTGGAGCAAATGAATTTCGTACATCGGGATCTGGCAACAAGGTAAGTGCCAAGAATGTTACACTCTCAAAAATTACTGGGTGGAATTTGGAACACGTTTGAAACTACCTTTGCAAATTTTGGCTATCTTCATATCATATTTTCCGAGGCAAATATTAATTAAACATTTAGTGAAGAATTTGAACATTGAAGATTTAAGTGTCCATTGAATTATATAGTTTTATGCAGGATTAAATGAATCGGTAAAATAACATCGTTATCATATCGTTGAGTATCGATGGGCCTTCGGAATAAAATGTTCATAAGTTCCAGCGCCTAACTGGCACTGTTTTGTTTGGAAAAAGTTTTATAACAAAAAAACAAAAGAAACTCGCATTAATTTTAGGTCTCAATACTTATATTAAACAATTTAACGTTTTATTATATTTTAATCTTTTTTTGCATTAAATAACTAACATAAAATAGATAATTGTAGAAATAATCTACAACATTTTCATTAAAATAAAAACATAATAGGTAAAATAATTTAAAAACTTCTTAGCTTCCACACGGTAGTGGATCTGTTTTAGACAAATTAGTAGAAACTATAAACAGTGTTCTCTGACTATACAAAATGTAGATGTTCATAGTAAGAAAGTGCTGTTTTGCAATGATTTTTATTAAAAAGGGTATTTTAACAACCATCTTTAAATCGTAATAAACGGATATTTCAATGAGGTTATATTTAGAAATACATTAAAAATTTGTGTTAAATTCATGAATTTTTTGAAAATCTCTAGACAATGTAGCAAGTGACGTTTTATTATTATATGCTGAAAAGTGTAGAAGAACAAATAAATAGGGTTTTAAAAAGTAGTTCTAACAACGATGATGTAGAATTCACCCCGCGATTTTATGAGCAGCAGAACTGTCTGCTAATTTGAAACAGAAATGTTGTTAACTTCTGCAATTAACAAATATTTACCAATAATTGAGCAAAAAGTTTGTTATGGAATAAAAAAGCCATTAGAAATATTAATTCTAACTTAAATTTGTGAGGGAAATTAAAAATAATATCCAAACATTTCAGCCAACCAATTACCACAAAGAATATAATTGATATTATGAGCCCTAACTTGACTGCTTTAGCAAAGTTCTAATTTACTTCTCTTCGTTACTCAATACATCTTTGTTACTAATTTATCAAGGTTATATTTCTAATTGTAATTTATGGAATAAATATTTCCATATTTGATTGACGAAACAAAGTTCATATTCACATTTCCAATTACAAGCGAATTTTCGGAGTACGTCCCTAGTGTGACTGTTTTTTTTTTCGAGTGCAACTGTTTGCTTTGATGACAGCGAATAGCAACCCTAGTTTGAATTTAATGCTGTGTCATAGCTGCAAATTAACTTGGAGGTTGGGTGATTCTCCACGAGAAACTTTTTAAATTTTGTACTGCAATCCCTATGGGTGCTACCTTTGTTCAAAGCTGTCCACTCGTAGTTATTTTAAGAACATTTTCCTCAAGTTACTTTAACGAAATTTGTGAGCATAACACCATAAACTAATAATACACCATCAATGCCTAACAACAAGCACACGATCACGCTCACCCACACCTGCGGCTACTAACAAAAAAAAAAAAAAAGCGAAGAGCGTAATTGAATATGGCGCTGGTGCTTCAGCCACTGTGGCTGCTGTTCGCTCCTTCGCTCCATCTGAACATTTTCGCATAAAATGTAATCAATTAAAATTAATTTGCTAATGAAAATGTCACCAACAACGACAACGAGTAGCTCCAAAGATGTTGACAACAATGGGTCTCAGCCATGTCGTCGTACCATTTATGAGTAAATTTCTCTTCTTTTTTTTGCTGCTTATATAAATGAATGACAGAAATTGTTTGTGCTGTTGTTGTTGTTGTCGCCAGCGTCCCCCATTCTGGTCGACTGTTGTTGTCGTCGTCATAACAAATCAATAATGGTGTAGCATGTTACATGGCTTAGTTTATTGCATAAATGGCAATTCCGAGAATATGCCTTTGAAATCCAATAAGAAATTGCCATTTTTGGGCACGCAACTGTCAAATACAATGGCCGTTTGCTAGCCAGAGTTTTTGGCTAACGCCCACCCACGCCCCACCCTCACCCCCTCATCCACCTTCGAGCGCCGCCCACATTGCACAGCACAATGCAATGAAAAGGTAAGCAAAAATATCACATGACAACAATTTGGGCTACGCGGCATATACGTTATGAGAAATTTCTGTGTTTTATTATTATTCGGTGTTTTTTATTTTTCGGTTCGGGCTTGCACTAAAATTTGTTTTGAATCGAACAACAATTGCAGCCATAAATTGTTCATGACAATGCGGCGTATGTGCAATATTCTTGGCAATATATTTTGCTCACATTGCTCATACGCCATGCAATATTTCTTACAATAACAGCTACAGAGCAAGCTGGCTACTGGCTACTAGATTAAATTTGTTTTGACATCAAGTCTATCGACACAAGATATCGATTTGTCAGACATAATTTGCGTCTTTGAAAATATTGAAAAATATTTGTCAGGCACATACTGCATATTAAGGTATGGCTTTGCAAATAGTAGAGTTTTGTATGCAAAAGAAATATTTATTAATTAAAGAACGCTAACATATTTCAAACCTTTGAGCAGAGATTTTAAATTAAATTGTGAAAATAAGAAAGTTATTATTCTTTTATTTACTAAAACGTTTTCGCTAAAGCTCGATGGTTTTTTTTAAAGTTGAGAAAATTCTTGAAAGCTACTCCATGGCTTAACAATTGAAAGTTGAAATTCTTCATAGCCGGCATAAGAAGAAGATTGAATAGAAAATCAATGACCGTATTAATATGCAATATTGTATATATAAAGAAATATAATTTAAACATTATTACATAAACTATCAAAAAATTTTTAAAGCGTATTCACTCCAGTGAATTAATAATTAAAGCACACACTTATTTACATTGGGTAGGGGAAAAGGATATCGATTTCAGTTACCTTATTTTTAACTTTAATTCCAAATAGTATATTCAACAAATTTTGGAAAAAATATTTTAAAAATAAACAGAAGACTTTTTTAGGGGAATATAAGTAACAAAATTTGATGTACAAAGAGTTGCAATATGAGTATAAGTTATCAAAGTTTAGCATCAAAAATTAGTAACTTATTATAAACTTAATGAAAAGAAAAATCAATCTATGTTACGATATGTATTATAATTATATTTCTAAATAGCTTCCTTAGTTTGTTTTCAATTGAAAATATAAATGAAATAAAATGAAAATATTGAAAAATATTTGTCAGGCACATACTGCATATTAAGGTATGGCTTTGCAAATAGTAGAGTTTTTTATGCAAAAGAAATATTTATTAATTAAAGAACGCTGGTTCTAACATATTTCAAACCTTTGAGCAGAGATTTTAAATTAAATTGTGATAATAAGAAAGTTATTATTCTTTTATTTACTAAAACATTTTCGCTAAAGCTCGATGGTTATTTTTAAAGTTGAGAAAATTCTTTAAAGCTACTACATGGCTTAACAATTGAAAGTTGAAATTCTTCATAGCCGGCATAAGAAGAAGATTGAATAGAAAATCAATGACCGTATTAATATGCAATATTGTATATATAAAGAAGTAATATTTAAACATTATTACATAAACTATCAAAAAAATTTTAAAGCGTATTCACTCCAGTGAATTAATAATTAAAGCACAATGTAAATAAGTTTACATTGGGTAGGGGAAAAGGATATCGATTTCTGTTACTTTATTTTTAACTTTAATTCCAAATATATTCAACAAAATTGGAAAACAATTTTTCAAAATAAACAGAAGACTTTTTAGGGGAATATAAGTAACAAAATTTGATGTACAAAGAGTTGCAATATGAGTATAAGTTATCAAAGTTTAGCATCAAAAATTAGTAACTTATTATAAACTTAATGAAAAGAAAAATCAACCTATGTTACGATATGTATTATAATTATATTTCTAAATAGCTTCCTTAGTTTGTTTTCAATTGAAAATATAAATTAGGCTCAAACATGATAAACATTACCAAATTAACCGCAGCATTTAAATAATTTACATTTCTTGTTGCTCCTTTTGTTGCTGCTGCTGATGTTTATTTTCTATCATATACTATGCGTGTGATCACAGCAATCTGAATTAAAAATGGCAACCAATAAGTAAACATTTTAATTAAACAAAAATTTTCAATTAATTCCCATTGCAAATATTTTTATGCAAACATTTATTTCTTACTTTAAATCAATAGAGCTGGCTAAAACACATTTTCTCTAACAATTACACAAGTAAAGATAAAGGTCGCAATGCAAATACTATTCTCAGCCACATAACCAAGTCAGCTTCCCATACGAGTATATGCAACGTATTGTTTGATTTAACATTCTACCTAGACAATAAACAGAAAATAGCAACAAAACCACAGTATTGGTGCAAACAGTGGGCTTCATGGAATTTGCTGAGCCAGTGAATGATATTTGCCCAATGCAGAGCAAAGAGTTGGCGTTGGTAGCAGCCCAGCTTGATATTAGTTAAATTTCCCAACACCCCCGCCCACATGGCCCCCACTGTCGAGTAGTTTTTGGCCACAAGCCAAATTTGCACAAATTTCCCCGTACTGCCAGTCCTCCCAGTCCTACCAGTCCTGCCAGTCCAGCCTGTTGTGGCTTGTCACTGCCAGCGCCCAGAAATACAAATTGTTGGGCTAATGCTGTGCAAAGTCGCTGAAGGCCGCCACTTTGGCTAGCCACACTGGACTTTGTACGTCAACGAACCCCACTAGTCGATGGACAGTGTGACAAAACTTAAATGAAAAAAATATCTATGAATTCAAACTTAAGACCACTAGGTTATTGTTGGTTTTTTCTTTCAAAGTAAAATAAAAACAAAATCGTCCTCTAGAAATTGTTAAAATGAAAACAATGATCTATGAATTCGAACTAATAACCACCAGCTTTTTCTGGAGTTTTTCAAAGTACTTTAATTAGAAGTCAGCTT